AAGCCAGACCCTTCATTTGTACTTTATAGTCATACTAGTAGCCCAGTACACGGATTTGTGCACATTGAAAGGACATTAATTATAAAAAATATTTTAAGATGGCTACTCACCCTTTCTCTATAATAGAAGTGTCAGAGATGAAAGAAAATCAGTAAAATGTATAAAATACTTTCAGAGTGCTTGACTAATTTACCTTGTGATGAAGTATTTACAACTTTAACATCACACGCTCTTTGAACTTGATAGAAAGCAACATATAACTGACCATGCCTGAAAACAGGTTCAGGTAGGAATGTTCCTACTCTGTCTAGAGTTTGTCCTTGTGATTTATTAATAGTCATTGCAAATGCTGGCATCACGGGAAATTGTCTTCGAATTAATTTAAATGGGAGGCCAGTGTCAGACGGGGACAGCTGTTCCAATAGTTGGTCTTCAGACATTTTCTGTCGATGATGCCGCTTTCTTTCAGCTTCAGAATGTCAATAAAAACAACCAAATTCACGATCAACAATGACAGATCGAAGCACACGCATGTGATTGGTGCCAGTGAGAGCATTATATGTATCGTGCATGCGCAAGTCAACGTTTATTTTTAAATTGCCAGTGTGTGTTATATGTACCAGCCAGTCAGTCAGTTGGACAGTTGGATGGATGGACGGTCGGTCACTTAGCCTTTTATATATATAGATATATATATATAGATATAGATATCTGATTACTATCCATCTTCAATTGACCGAAATGAAACTAGTCATTAACCTTACCTAGTCTTATATCCCTCTTGCATTTCCTTAATCTCTAAAGCAAAAAAACATGAGCCACCTTTGATATGGCAAGTTCTCCCTCACTGCTTTTGCCCCATATTATTCCAGTAAAACTATTCTTGTCAAAATTATGAATCACCTCCATAATGCCCAGTCCAATGACTATTTCTACATATTTATCGTACCCAACAGCATGATTTGACAGAGCTGACTGCTCCATCTCTTTTGGCTTCCTTGGTAATCCTCTTTGGTTTTCCTCCTAACTCTGTGCACTTCCAAGTTTCTCAAGTTTGCTGCATTTGGGGCCCTTTGCTCTCCCTAGGAAATGTCTTCCAACCCCATGACTTTAAGTGCCATCTATATACTAATGCATATTACATACATGCACACACACACTCCTAGTCATGGACTCTTTCCTAAACTCTAACTGACAATTCCAATTATGAGTCTAACTGGAATCTAAAGTTTAACATGCTCAAAACAGAACTTATATTTTACCTCCCAGATCTGTTTTCTCCCAGGCTTCGATTTCTCAGTAAATGGCATCAGGTGATGAAGCCAAAAAACTTAGGAGTCTTACACAAGGCAACAGCCTAATTATTATCCTTTGCTTCTATGTTATCTGCCCTTAGTTTATTAATTCAGTGCTATTTTGAATACAAAATCAGGATATGTAACTCCAATTGCCTAAAATCTTCCAATGGCTTCTCTGACTACATAATCTAAAATAAAGCAAGGGTTAAACAATGGTGATGGGCTCATATCCAGTCCATGTCCTGTTTTAGCCCTTGAGCTAAGAATGGGTTTTTAATTTGTAAAGTGTTGTTTAAAAAAACAACAACAAAGAAAAATATGTGCTAGACCATATGTGGCATGCAAAGCATGAAATATTTAATTTCTGGCCTTAGCCTGTTTGGCTCAGTGGATAGAGTGTTGGCCCTTGGACTGAAGGGTCCCAGGTTCAATTCCAGTCAAGGGAATGTGTCTTGTTGCAGGTTTGATCCCCTGCCCTGGTCAAGGTGTGTGTGGGAGGCAATCAAACAATGTGTCTTTCTCATATAGATGTTTCTCTCTGTGTCTCTCCCGGTCCCTTTCACTCTCTTCTCTCTCATATAGATGTTTCTCTCTGTGTCTCTCCCCATCCCTTTCACCCTCTCTCTAAAAATCAATGGAAAAATATCCTCGAGTGAGGATTAACAACAACAATTATATATATATACATATACTTTCTGGCCCTTTACAGAAAAGGTTTGTGACTCCTATCTAAAGTAGACATTGCTGCCCTGGCCAGTTTTACTCAATGGTTAGAACGTCAGCCCTCAGATTGAAGGGTCCCAGGTTTGATTCCCGGTCAAGGGCACATACCTTCTTATTTGGCAAACACCTCTTGTTAAAGACTATGGTAACTGAATTTACACTTGCTACTATAATATAGTAACTATCAAATTAAAAGACAAATATAGTAACTATCAAGTAGAAAAATACCAAAGAAACCAAATCTCCACAGTAGAGAACTATATAGATCCAATAATAATTACGATCTTGATTCTTCCCTATCAAACTAGTCACATCAGGGTTAGTTCTCAATAAAGCAGAAGACTTGGCTAGAAAAAAACACGTAAGAAAACATATCTCACACATGCTAGATTTAATAAATGGAGTCTACAGAAGCAATTCATCCCTGCCCACCTTTAAGTCACCTCTTCTTTCAGTACTTTTGGATACACAGAAATATTCACACACACACTTCTAAAACCAGTGTTTGAAAGCTATGCAAGAAAATATAATTACTTTCCTGACATGATAAATTTTTAATTTCAAATTCTGGGCATATATATAAAAATTTAATTCTTATTTACCTGCAGCTTGAAAACAACACAAAATTTACAGCTGATCTTACCTTTGTAAGATAATCTACTTTCAAATTGTCAATCATCATATTTTTTTGGGATAGCTCTATTTTCAGTAACTGAATATTATGAAGTAGTTCTTTTCGTTCAATTAGCTGCCTGGTGATTTTGATTTTACCATCTCGCTCTTCTGATGAGGAAATGTCATCTGTAGGAACTGTTGTTTCTAAACTAATATCTTCAGATTCCAGAGAGCTGGAGACATTCACTGTTTTTGATGCCTTGGCAATTTTTCGAGACATTATTATGGACCAGTTTTCTTCTCCAATTCTATTTCAGTTTTCTGTAGGTTAAAAAATATCAAGTTAAATGTACTCAAACATTCTCTGTGGAAAGCATATTACAGAGACCCTAAGGATTCCCTAAGGCAATCTGAGGACCCCAAATCTAGGGCACATTAGGAAATTATTGCTCAGATCGAACACATTAAATCAAACTCATTAAATCCTATTATGAACTCAGGCACTTGGATGAATAAGAAACCCAGTTCCTAGGCGCAGGAATACTTGGAGGAGACAAAGAAATATGTAGGAGACAAAGGATAAAGCTCTAATGCTACCAATAAAAGCAGCACATGTTCAATACTAGAGAGATCACTTCCGAGTTGGTCAGGGGAAGGTTATACAAAGATAGAAGATAGAATCTTGGAGGATTTGGGGAGGAGTAGGAAGAAGGGGAAAGCATGCAGGTGCTAAGATTGGTGGAGAGGTGGTGAAAGTGTAAAGACAACGGGAGAGAGAGGGGTCAGGCTGGGGCCAAGTCTTTGTGAATCGGAGTAGTTGGTGACTCCCTCACGCACCCAACACACACACACAGCCTTAATAATCCAGGCTGTGGAGGGCCTTGAATGTCAAATGCGTTAGAAATCTATTCGGCAGGCAATGAGGCATCACTGAAGATGTTTTAAAAGGGGAAGCAGTGACATAAAAGCATTTTTCATAGGCTTGCAGATAGCAGATGAAAACAAGAGGGTAGAAGAGAAACACTCAAGAATTCTAAATCGAACTTCTTACCCTTCCAGAAGAATTGAACAACTCCTCTATTTTAATGCCACACGATATAATGAATTGTTTACGGTATTGCTGATAACAGTTTTTCTAAACCCAAGGATGTGTGTATGGAGGGGAAATGGCAAGCACTTTGGCTGAATCGGCTTCCCTCCTTTTTAAACGGCAAAGGGTAAGAACTGGATGAAATCAAAACAGGCAACACCACCTGGGTCTCAAAGGATCAGGGACTGATCCTGCCCACACATGCGGGGCGAAGAAAACCCAAACTTGGCAGCATCGGGGGAATTCCTTGTCCACCCGCGGGTATGGGACAGCCGAGAGCTACCTCGAAAGCTTCAATTACTCCCCGTCGAAGGCTGGACCAGCCGCCACTGCCGGGAGCTGAAGGTGTCTTCAATCAGCCGCTCAGGTTGCAGCACCTCAAAAGTGAATTTCAGGTGGGGGACCGTTGGGACCCGTAACCAAGACAACCATTTGGGCGCCCAGAGGAGGACCGTGGAAGCCGCAGTCTGCAAACGCCCAAGCCGCCGGAACTTGGCCGGGATCCACCCAGGCGCCGGAAGCAACGCATGCTGGGAGCTGGAGTCCAGAGGAGGGCCACGCCCACATCGTGGGCGGAAATGGCTCCGAGATCCGCCCCTCCTCCCTGGCTCCTCGCTTTTGCCCAATCCTCGCAACCCTTGGAGAGCCAACCAGCATCAATCTCGACGTTTTCCCGCGAGAAGTGTTCGCTAGTGCCTAGGAGCGGGAAGGCGCGAACCTCCGGGTAAAGGATAGTCGTGCGACAGGGCTCCGAGCTGACTCCGGTCGCCGGAAGAGCGCGGTAGCCGTCGGATTCCGCGCCGCGAGACAAGATGCTGAAGTCTAAGACTTTCTTAAAGAAGACCCGGGCGGGCGGCGTGATGAAGATCGTGCGGGAGCACTACCTGCGGGATGACATCGGCTGCGGGGCGCCC